AATAATAACTACATGCAAATCTCGCAAAACATAAAATACCTATAAATAGCTCAAAAATAATTAAACCATTATTTCCGTAAATTTTCCCGATCGTTCTACATTTTTTCCGGTTCTACTCAGAATATAAGAAAATTACACGTAAAACCAAAAACCAATATTCTTATTCCACAACTAGAATTAAAATCCAACAAAAAAAGTCTTAAGCCATTTTTCTATTTGTGTCATATATTTGATAGAAAATATAAGACGTATAAATTTAAAATAATTAAATCGTATACCGTAAATTTATTAGTTTTTTCGGGTTCTTTCCCAATTATTATGAAAACTGTTTGAAAAATTGAAAGCTGAAAAAAATGCCTCAGCAACTAGATCGAAAATATAACAAAAAAGGTCTCGTAGCATTTTTTAATTAAAGCAATATTTCTGTTAGAAAACATAATGCGTACAAACTAAACATAAATGAATCGGTAACCCCGCGATACGTTTTAAATAGTTTCTGTCTTTCCTATAATTTTATTCCTGGTTTTTCCCAATCATTTTGAAAACCTCTTTGGAAAATCGAAAAAATAACCTTTTTACACTAATTAGACCCAAAATGCAACAAAAATGCATTTGATGCGTTGCTTTGAAACAGGTTTTTGATATAAATGATTATATCATTTTCGTAATTTATAGTGTAAACTATTATAGAATTCTATTTTTTGTTATATTACAGAACAACAAATTTCCATAAACACTTGTTTCGTAAGTATTGATGATAATCGTATTTATTACGTTTTATCATACAGAATGTTACAATAGAAGCTAAAAAATATACTTGTTAGTCTTAAATTGATTAAGGGGCCCAGTGCCAGTATTTCAAATTTTCGCCAATTTTAAAAAATTTAAAAATTATTTTCAACATTACAATTACCACTTTAAAAATAGAATTTCCAACTGATCTATTACCCAATACCCATCTGGGAAAAGGGATGGAGTCGTTTTTACTGACAAAAATTACTTTACTGAAATATTGATAACTTATTACAAATCTATAATTGCATAAACATTTTTTTTTATTAATAACTCGATTTTTTAATTCCAATTTCAAATAATGGAAAACAAATTGGTAAAGAAAGATTACAATTTACTTTTTTAAAAGTCTCATTATAAATATTGAAAATAAAATATTTAAAAAATGAGTTCAATGCAGTCTTTAAAATGTTTCCTTCGATTAAATAAAAAAATAATAATAATAATAATTGAATTTGGTTGATTCTACTGAACAGTATCACTATTTCCGTTATGAAATGTAAACGACATTAACACTGGGCACCTTAACACATATTTAATAATAAAACATATAGGGTGCTTTATGCTAGAGAAAATGTTAAAATGTACTCGTTAAATTCATTGTACCTACACACAAAAGTGTGAAATTGTTTAGTTTAATAATTGTAAGCATACTTAGCATACGAATAATAAATAGGCACGCTAGTTTACGTGATTGTCATGTGTTTTATTTAATGAAACAAGAGTATAAACGATCCGGTGCGTGTAACTAATCAAAAGATTCAAAAACGTTTTAAAATTATATGGTTAACTATTAAAATAGGGACATTAGTTAATACTTAAAATGACTATACAAAGACTACTTGTTATAACATACATACTTCAACTATACTATATGTATATAATCACCCTGTAGTATTGCAATTATTTTTAGTAAGCACATACTTAAATAAATGATTTAAATTTGACACCTTTGAGTATAACAAAAACGCTGTGAGTGGGTAAAATACAATTATTTCTGAAAAAACACTAACATAGGTATCATATTGATTTATTATGTACCTACCTGCCTATCTACTACATTTAATATATTCACCGCAGTTAGTAAATTATAATATTATACTACATGTCTGCATCTTTTCAATATTTAATTTTTAAATGAGTACTTATATTAATATCATACTTGCGTTAACACTTCACGTAATTATATGGAACTATAGGAATAAAATAAGCATAGTTTAATATTCCATCATTGTATAACTAATATTGTACGTCTAAGTTTGATAAATTAGTTTTCTCGTCTACGTAAAAAACTGATAATTAGACATTGTTTTTGAGGTATAGGTACCTATTTAAAATATGTATACATACACAAAATATTTTTGAGCTAGTACCTAAATTATGATTTTTTAGTTATGGTAAATCGGAAGCTTATTATAATTTAATACATAACATGAGTGTTGAGTATATATTAGTTTTCCTTAGATTATCATTGTTATCATACAACCGTTTATATTATTAATACACACATTTTTATTGATAAAGGGTAGATTTCATAAAACCGATAATCTTAATACTTGATATTATTCTAAAAATATAAATAATTTATAATTAAGAAAACAATTTTGGAAATAGTAAAAAACCATATAAAAGACTAATTAGATAAAACAATAATTATGTAAAATCCTATTTTAAAAGAAAAATATTATTGAAGGAAGCATAAAATTGGAACAAACCTAAGGGCCCTTAATGTATCAATATAGTATCGGTAAAAATTGGATTACTAAACGATTAATAAACATAACAATATACGACATTAAAAGAAATTACGTCATGAAAAACAGTTTATCGAAAATAATGAAGCGAATAAATGAAGTCTTTCTTTTTATTTTTTTTTGTAACCATTACATTAAATCATGAAATGGTAAAATTACAGAAAGAATTAAGTTTTCTGATCATTGTTGAATAAACAATTTGTATAATGACAAAACGGATATCTACAGATGTCAGATATAGCCCCTCGGTGGTGAAATTACAACATAATTTAAACAAATTAGAAAACAAATTACCTATAGGTGCTTACTATTATTATATGATGTAGGTAAGGGTTGGAAAAACGATAAAACAATTCGTGTAAAATATTTCTGACTATAAAATACGATGTAAGTATACTTAAATACCTATAAAAAAAAAGTCATAACTTTTAAAACAATAAGGTGGTTATTTTTTTTTTCGTATATAAAAAACGCCACCTTATCTACATATCGGACGGATTTACATTTGATGATATATAAACACGCCACGTAGATGAGTCACGATTTGTGCACATTTACAATATTTTGAAATTTAATGACTCTATATATACTAATATACAAAGTATTGATAACGAAACACGATCCAGAGCGAAATTTGGTTAAATTATTTTTGTTTTAAATACCGTCATTTTTACAATATTAGTTCAAAATGAACTTTAAATTTAAAATTACTACGTCAAACTCAACTTTTTTTTTTGCTTGGCCAAAGCAATCGCATCTGCGTTAATCATTCAAATAAAAATTAAAAAAACTTGAAATGCCTATAAATACCTCAACAATTCTAAGATTAATTTTATAAATGCACCGTGTCTGGAAAGTAGAAAATGCTAATATAAACATTCGGTCGGAATTATTTTTAACAAAATCACAACAAACTAAACAAAAACGAAAAAAAAGGGAAACGTTGTTTCGTAAATTTTTCCTGGTTTCCCAATTATCATAAACTTAAAAATTACACTCTGAATGAAAGCGACTAGACAAAATTATTTCTTTTAGAAAAAATATCACAGTTAAAAACCAAAAAAAAGATTTCTAGTTGAAAAATTGTTCAAACTGGAAAAAAAACAAATATTAAAACACATCATAGTAAACTGTAAACCTAATAATCACTGGCAACTAAAGAGCAAATCATTGCCCTCTGGGATTCCTGAAAAACGTAGCAGCAAATTGCGATTGCTTTTTTTAACCACAAAACTAGTTCAATAAAATATACTTCCATAAACTTAACATGAAGACATTTGACGTTCGAATTTAAAAATGTCTTCGTCACAGTAAAAATATTTACTGGTTCTGGCCGCATACAAAATCGTACGTCGTCTTTTCTCCTACACGTTAACCACAAATGTAGGTTAATTGTTATTTAAAAACTAATAACACTTTGTGTTGAACATATAACCTGGGTTTTAAAATCGAATATTCACGATATTATTAATTTAATTAATTAATTCAATATTATAGAGGTGATAAACGGCTTCCCAAATTGTCTACAATTACGTAAAATTGCAAAATTATTTTTTTTCATTTAATAGCTACCTTAAAGACTTTTCCACAAATCTACTGCCCTGTATCCATTTAAAGGGATGGAGTATAGCCATTTTTATAACGTTTTAAACCAATAAGCTAAAGTAAAATTCATCCACTATCGCTCAACCAATTTAATTTTGAAAAAATGTTAGCATAATTTTCAAGCAGAACAAATTATACATACAATTAATATTTACGTTAGATTATTAAAAAAGTTCATGAGTAATCCACTGTTTTAGATGGGAAGTTAGAAAGGTAGGTAGAATAATAAAGGGAAATTTAATTTATTACTGTATGCAACGACGCATCATTTCATACAATTCAGCAAATAATAATATACAATTTTTTTAATTGATTTGATGATAAATTTGAACTTAAAAATTTACTAAAAAAAAATAACGGCTTTATAAGCCTACAATTTAACGTAAAACAACTTATGATGATCCTTTTATTCAAATATTCCATTATTTATGAGACGCTAAAAACTCGAAAATTTCAAATAACTTAAAAAAGGATAAAATATTTTTTTAAAATTAAAACATATCTAAATAAGTTTTCAAATATGATTCTAGAACAGTAGGAATACTTTTCATTGAATTACAACAAAACAACTAAATTTTTTTTTAACAGAAATCCATTAAAATTCACGGATTTCCGACTTTTTATTCCGGTTTCCCCTATTATTAAGAAAACAAAAATAAAATAAAATATAGGCCGGTCTGCCAGAAAAAATTATTTATCGAAAACCAGTCTTTAGTGTTAATGATCGGAGCAAAATTTCCTCGAGATTTTGATCCTTGAAATCAACGAGTGACGGTGATCCAGACCCCGTGCACGCCGAGTACCTCAAACAAGCCTTGCCACGCAGACTTGACAGGCTGTAAATAGTATGCGATACGGGCAAAACACTTACCGAAGACGAACGGCATCAGGGCGGCGGTACACCACCAACACCACCACGTCATGGTTAACGCTATTCCACGGCGGTACGTGGCCGTCTTCGTCATCGCCGTCCGAAGGTCATCGGGAAAGAGGGCGAAAAAATGTTCAGTTTTTCAACGAAAAAGACGCACGCTCGGCGGCGACCCGACGGACGGAAGCGTGTTCGGATGTCTGCGGTCGCGGACGATCGGCGCACCGGCTATGGCGGAAAGCACGACGGCGGCGGCGATGGCAGCGACGGCGGTAACCATGAGGACGGAGACCGAGTCGGTTCGCGAGACGTGTGTCACGCGTGGGCTCTTCCACGACACTGCCGGTCGCACTACACGGACTCGGCACAGTCGGCAGCTGTCGACGACCGCGACTATACAGTTGTGAATAGCCCCCAGTCCTCCCCAAAACAAACTGCCGTTGAAGACCCCCGCTTGAATGGGGAAACCGTGACGGGGCACCCGTACACAGGGCGACCTACGGCGCCCAGTATATGTGTGCGCTTATATACAATTTCGGAAGTATGGGGTTTGAAGGAAGTTTATTAGTAAAAAATAATGATATTTTTAACAATAGAACTAATATTAAATGATGCGTTTTTTTCAAATTTCATGAGGAGAAGGAGGGATCAAACAACACTCTTCTATAGAACCCTGTGCTCAGTTAGGCTAAAATAATGTAAAATGTCTAAAAATAAAAAACCGAACATAATTTGCAACACTAGATTCTCATTGTTTTATATGAAAAGTTTTAAAGGCATATATATATATATATATATATATATGTATATGTATATTATATATGATAAAGCCATAAAAGGCAAATAACTTAACATGGCATCTACTGACAACAACGAATGAATCGTATTACAATCAAAAAACTATTTTTAGCGAAGTAATAAAGTCGTGTATATTTGTCGTTCAAGATTTTTTCATTCAAGATTTTGCCGGAATTTTTTTTCCAGTTTTTTCAAGGTTTTGCAAGATTTTTTTCAAGATTTTGTCAGTTCAAAGTTTTGCTGTTCAAGATTTTTTGAAGACTTCCCTTATTTATTACTAAACCGAAAAATTATTTTCCGAGAAATAAAATGCATCTTAATAAAACTAATATAGCTTCTTTGATTCGTAGAGAATCTAAAATATTTGTAAGTATTTAAAATTTAGAATTATTACTGTTAATAAATCTTTGAAAGAGATTCAAAATTAACTGAACGAAAACTCAAAACCTGTACAATCCACTACAAGTATGTATTGTTAATTTATAATAATACAAAATTAAAAAGCTAGGATGTAAATAAGTGTAATTTAACTTAAATCTGTACATAACGATAAATTATTGCTAATGAAAAACGTTTCTGAGTAGAATTTGACTAAAACTAATTTTAATATTAAGACAAACTTAATTAAATTGAAAATTTTATTAATTTGTAACTACTTAATTATATTTATATATTGATTATATTGATTTAATATTATATTTTTTTATCTCAAATCGTTAAGAATTTGTATGGACCCAAAACGTTTTAATCACCTATACCGTGATTTTCACAATGTTTTCAAAATTTGAACTTTAAACTACCTACATTAAAGATTAAAGAATAATTACTATACAACACACAACATTTTTTTTTTTCTAACACTAACTATAACTTATTATAAATTTTCTGTCAAATTGTATAGGTAGTGTTTTTAAGAAGCCAAAATAATTGTCTTCATATAAAACCAAATAAGTACCTACTAAACAATTTCAAACAACTATAACTATTTCAAAAATCGAGAGAACATTTTGAAAATAGCACCATATTTAGAAAGTGATAATACGTATAAGTATTCGATGCTAATTTCAGATATTTACGAATATTTTAAAATGAATTACAACAAAAAAAATAAAATCGAAAATAATAAATACCTTTTTTTTTTTTTTTTTAATATTAATTGATATATTATATTATTGATATATACCTTTATATGTACCCTTATAAGTACCGACCGGTGAGGCCAATTTTAGAATCTGCACCCTGAAATTTCCTCGAGAAAAACGATTCCAAAATAAATTATAACATATAATAGTAAAATTTCAGAATAATCATGTTAAACTTTGAAGAGGCTTACGGGAGTGTTCGGCGTTTTATTAAGACAATAATATAATAATATAGAAGATATTATATGGTACGATATTATATATTAATTCTGGTCTGGTACTTGTATGTAATCGTTGTCGATTACTATACCTACGTAGTGCGCCTAATGGTTAGAGGATAACAAACATGCATCTAACATTTTGATCGAGTACAATTGTTCAGGAATTATTTTCGCTCGCGCACGTTTTCCAATCTAATAACACGTAAAACGGTTGTTTTCTAACTATTATAGTTTTCGAAGTTTCGATGAGAAAACGTGATATGGTGGTACGGCGGCGGCAACGACAAAGCAAAATAAAAAGACGACCAGAGTTAAAATAATTTCTATAGATACTCAACTTTTTAATGTAATCGCATACCAATACCTGTCTATACTATACAATACAACTATACATTCTGAATGATTCTAGTTTCGAGTTTGGTTGTATAGTTTTATTTTTCAATTGCAGCGGAATTACTAAAACAAAAATTGAAATTTTAAAATATTCTATGTGTTTCCTTGAACTACGCGTACAATAATAGGTACCTATAAGTATAAAGATACTGCTCAGTGTTCGTATAATAATAATAATAATAACACATATTTAGTACCAACATAGTTGAGAAAATATCAAGTACTATATACTGAAATTGTAAAATAATAACGTTATACGAAAATACATCATGTCTTTTTTTTCTTTTCGAAAGCAACAATATATTATGTAGGTATTATATATTATAATATACGCGAGATATTCCGCGGAGATATCCGTATTTGCCACAAATATATTATTATATTCCGCTATGGGAAAGAAGCGAATAACGTGATAACACCTGTCAGATTTGTGAAATCTTATTACGATTCTACTAGGTATTCAAAAAATAATAGGTACCTACTATAGGTACGAATGTACGACACAAGTATTATTTTAAGGACTTTTTACTTTCGTTTACATAATACTTGACTTGTAATATTAAAATGTGAAAAATTCAATCAAGTATAAATAGTATAATCTAAATGACTGACGGGTGTTATAACAACTTTTGAAAAATATTCAATATTTAACCAGGCTACAAAAATCTTTTTACTTCAACTAAATATCTCCAACAATTTTATTTTAGACTTGTCTTGTTAGTCGTTGTTTGAAAATAATTAGAATTTGTTAGACTTTATTTTCCAAAATATACGTTTTGTGGTGACAACTTCACATAAAAGCTCAAAGTTTCCGAAACCGGTCTAAAAATACTCACACACGTTTGCTAGACGTTGTTTGAAAGTTGTTAGAATTTGTTATACTTTCTTTTCCTTTGTATCATCAATACTATTCCAGGGCTAAAATTACACCAGTAGTCGCTATATTGATACAATATTTTAGGGTTATTACTTTTATAAAAAAATTAGGCACCTATAAACTAGAAATAAGGTAAATCAAGGAGAAATAAAGTTACTAATTCATTTTTATATACCTTTGCAATCTAGTTTTAGATTTCTTGATTATTTTTTTTTTAAATACCATTCTAACGTCCCAGAATTCAAACTCTAGATATAATTACATAGGTATCTGATATAAATACATATAACATAATGGAAATAATTTTAGGTGTAGTAGATTAGCATTTAATAGTAATAAAATAGGCGTACACTAGAAGCAAATAAACGAAAAGAGACAAACAAAATTAATTCTATAACACCTGTATTTAAAAAAATTAGTTTATGTAAATCCCCATTTTAAGTTTAAAAATTTTTTTTAGTATATAAGTAAGTTACCTACATCTTCACATAATAGCGTATCCAGGGTTGAATTTTGAGGGGCGGGGCTCTTAAAAAAAATACTACTAAAAAAAGAAAAACTAGTTCATACGTTTATATTTTGTTTAATATCTTATATATAGTGTACTATATGCCACATATTCTAGGAGGCTGAGGCCCAAGGTCCACCTTCTAAATCTGTCACTGTCTGCACAATCCATTGCATTTAAAAATAAACTTGAAAATAATTAAAAATTTGATATTTTGTACATGGGCAGTTTATAGCAAAATGAAATAAACGTGTGTGAATGAAAATAATGGGGATAATAGTTTTATATATTATTAACTTAATCTGAGATTTCATAACAGTTATTTTATATCAAATCAACGAACGAATGAGTATGTACCTAAAGTGTATGCAAAAGCTCTATTAATAAAATCCTGAGTAAAATTCTAAATTGAAACTATGATATTTTAAATTTGGAGAAATAACATATTTTGGAAATTTAATATTTTGGATCGAGAAGATTGAACGAAAAATATATTATCAGAGGTATTTTGAAATGAAATTGAGAAAAAAAATTTTGGACTATTGCATATTTAAGCATTAACTTTATAAGACAAAATAAAGAGAACTAAAATGGCATAGGCCTAATATTGTCGGACTAAATATTTTCTATATCTTATAAATTAGACCAACATTTTGCTTACCCAAAATAATTTGGACCGATCCTGATAAATACTTTGAAAAGTTTAATTTTAAATAATAGTTTATATTTTTCAAACTTATTATTTTAATTAATAATATTTACTACAATCGCACATAAACTATACTATGTTATTAATTTATATAATTTATAATCGGACGTAAGTATCTACCGAAATTATGTTAAATGAATATTAAGTTTTAAATTTGTCATGTTCCAAAATGCACCTACCTACCGTAAAATAATTAATAACTGCAGAATAATACATCAAGAAAACGTAGGAAATTTATTATATTTCAAGATTGGATTGGTAATTAATTAAAGAATTATATTAAAATACTGTACAATTGAGGCACAGTAATTTGCATCACCTTATCGCAGTTTAATAAAATTATATACGGTATATATAATACACGTATAAATTGTAAAAGGAACTGCCCGAGGAAGGTGGTAATCAATGTATATCATAAATGTATGTACGTGTTATATTCTATACTCTAGTTTGCAAATAAGTAATTATATTATTTTTAAATTCATTAATCAAAAATCATACATTTCAATGGACTTAAGAAAGTTCAGTAAAAACAATATGTAGGTGATAGTTCATTAGAAAAAAAAAAAAACGTTTACATAAAAGTCGTTTAGTAGATGTGTAAAAATGCCTGTGGGAATGAGTAGCTAGGTAAATAGTAATTTTAAAATAATAAAAAAGCTCCGATTGTTTGATAATAAGGCTCTTATTAGTTATTATATGGATTTGTTTTTCTTCAATTTCAATATTGAAATAATCTTTTTTTTTATTGATTTTCTGATTTCATAACACAAAAGAGCTGATACTGGGGATGAAAGTGGCCACGTTGTAGGTGAGAAGTTGGGAAGGTAGGATACATAAAGCTATTTCATTTATATCTGTAAGCAACGATAAACCATTGCTGACGAAAGACGATTCCGAGCGCGATTCGGTAATACATA